TGATTTTCAAGATAAATTCTTAGAAGTGGTATTATTTAGTTCAAAATCATAAATAAATTTGAGGTTGTGGTATGATTAACTTCATGCTTTTCAGAGAGTTATTTCCAAAATAAGCTTTTATGTAGAGGGTTTTCCCAATCTAAAAACTGATTCTCTCTAACAGCTGAACTTACTGTTTAGTGGTATATTTGGGAAGTTCCTAGAATCTACTTTCAAGTTTTGAAGTCACCTTTCTAGCTGTATTGTTTAATAGAGGTTTCTTTATAATTTTGTACTTCTTTTGCTAGTACAGAAGGTAAGCATTCTATTTACAACCTTTATCAGTTACCATCATAACTGTAATAAAGTATAACATTTATTAATACAGTATCTTTATCACTAAATACTAAAAAAAAAAATCTGGAATGGTTTAACACTTATTTGAATTCTCCTTAGCACTTCATATGTTTTTGTCAAATGTTTTATGTTTCCATGTCTTTGACCACTACATTATGTGTTGTGGATTGTATTCAGATGTTGTTGTTTGAAATTACTAAGATATATACCAAATTTTTTGCTCAAAGTTCCTTTTAGTATTTTTTCTTTTTTAAAGAAATTAACTTTGTTCCTTGTCAAACATATTTTAATAAATCCTTTTCTTTATTTAAAGGCTTTACTAAATGAAAGTTTACATAAAGTGTAGTATATTTGCAGAGGCAAAGTTTTGAGGAAAATGCTAATAAGCTTAAAACAAAAGTTATGTATTTGAGAAATAAATAGCTCATAAAATTGTCAGACTTTCTGATTAATTGGAGATAGCAACTGAAGAAGACAGAGGAATCTGGAATGAATTCTAGGGTTCAGCTTGAACAACTATATGAATTTTAGAGATGAAATTTGGTGCTTTGATGGGGGTTGCAGTTTGGTACCACTTCAACCACAGAAGATCTGTTTCCTGGAATACTCTTTCAGGAGCACAGCATTTAGAAGATAATTGATGTTTAAAAATAATCTTTGAGTATATACACCATGAAAGAAATTTGAAAACAACTCTCTCAGTGGGGATGGATGCTGTTTATTAGACAGTTGCATATCAGTCTATAAATTAAAATTAGAGTAATAACTATGAAGAAACTATTTACTCAGAGCATCTGGAGGGAATGAGAAATGGCATAACTTAAAATCCTTATTCAATACAATATTAAAGGATTGACTAAACATAAGACTTGATTTATGATCATAAAACTAGGAAATCATTACCAACATCCTGATTACAAATAATCTTGTTCCCATAAAACTTGCAACTTAAGCTTCCAACTTATTTTGGAATGTTTTATAATAAACTACTTTTGATTTGGGGAACATGTTCAAATATTGCTTAACCAGCAACAAAAATGGACTAGTAACATGCAAATAAATTGCAATAATCTCTTATAAATTTAAAGACTTTCACATACATTATCTATATTTGATCATCATAACAATAAATGTAAATAGCCCCCCAATTGTCATTTTGTAGATGTAACTACAAATGATTTAGTTTGAATTACTTAGATGGTCTGTAGTCTCCTGAGTCATTATGAAGGTAGAAAGAGGTGCTTCATAACAGAACTAAAGAATTTCAAGTATTTATTGTGAGCAATCTCTATGATGGCTTCAATTGCTCAAGAAAAAAGCCTACTCCAAGATTATGAGAGAGGTTAGAAATGAGTGTTGAATGAAAGGCTTGAAATGGGGAGAAATGAAGTAGTATCCATGCTCTGGCTAAAATTTCAGCACTCTATTAAATGAGAGTGGTAAGAGAAGCCATTCTTGTCTTACTCCAAGTCTTAAAGGAAATGCTTTCGGTTTTTCTCCATTTGGTATGATGTAGGGTTTGTCATATATAGACTTTATTATGTTGTGCTTAATTCATTCAGGAATTTTGTCATGAAGGGCTGTTCAATTTTATTAAAAAAATTTGATCTGTGAAAATTCATATGACTTGTATCATTTATTCTGTTCATGTGATGTATTGCATTTATTGATTTGCATATGTTGAACCACCCTATATGCCTGGGATAAATCTCACTTGTTCATGCTGAATAATAGTTTCAATATCTTCTTGGATATATCTTGCTAGTCTTTTTTTTCTTTTTTTCTTTTTTTTTTTAGGATTTCTGCAGCCATGATTATCAAGAACATTGGTCTACAGTTTTCATTTTTGGTCGTATTCTCTCATTTTGGTAATAGGATAATGAGTTTGGAAGGATTCCCTTCATTTCAAATGTCAGAAACAGTTTGAGAAAAATAAACATTAGTTCATATTTCAAGAGTTGGTAAAATTCAGCATTCAAACCCTCTCATCCTGGTTTTTTCTTTGTTGGGAGACTTTTTATTACTGATTAGATCTTGTTACTTGTTATTGATATATTCTGGATTTTATGTCCTTATTGTCCAATCTTGGAATGAAGGTGTATTTTTTATTTCACTAATTGAGTTTTTCATTTTCAAGCTTTCAATTAATACTTTTAAAAGATATCTACCTCTGTCAAATTTCTCATTGTCATCACGAATTTTTTTAACAATTTCACCGAGTTAACTGTGTTCGGTTGAATTTTATTCAGTTTCCATATACTCATTCCTTCAAATTCTTCATCAGGCATTTTGTGAATATCCTTTTCTTGAAAGTCTGTTGCTAAAAGGTTATTGTCTTCCTTCTGGGGTGTCATGATACCTTGTTTCTCCATACTGCTCAGGCATCTGGAAGATCAATAATCTCTCACACTTTTATTAGGGAGCTTTTATAGTAAGCAACTCTCTGCTAAGAATATGTTTTGAGGTAGAAATTTAATAAATTATGCCGAATTTGGTTCCAGTGGATATGATTTTATACTCCCCCAATAGCTTCTTCAGCTGTAACCAATGGGTTTGGATCCAGGCTTTGCACATTATTGCCACTGCAACCAAGGAAAGAAAAATAATATTCATTGCTGCCTGATAGGAATTAAAGGCCCAGCCTCTTGCTCAGCCCTTGTCTGACAACACCCCACTAAGAAGGTTGCGGGACTTGGAAAACCCTAGCAAATATGGCGACCTAGACTGTCCATTTAGCCTTTGCTGGTGGAGTAGGATCCTAGGTCCAGATATTTCTATATCCTTTGTTGCTTGAAAATTTACATGTTGGCAGGCTATTTCTCCCTTTGCTGGTCCTTGGGCTAAGCTGAACCAATTTTCATTGTTACTTATCTTGTTTGTGTTCAGGTTAATTAGCTTCTTTAGACCTAATATGAGCAAAGAGGAAATTCAGGATACTTCCGTATCCCTTTTGCATCCATGGGACCTCAAAGGCCTGCTTTTTTCTCTCACCCTTTAGAGCCTTCTTATTTCTTTCATATGTACTGTATGGGGA